GAGCGCAACAAAATTCTATCTACCTACAATTTTTATAGAAGCACATATACAGTAGTAGTAGAAAAATACATATTACATTGAAGTGTTATTTGTCTCGAGGATTTCATGAATTTATATGTCCGCAAATCTATCATAATTTCATCATAAGCATCAAATTTATTCAAAATACATTCTCAATTCTAGCAAGTTTAACATTTCAATTAAGAGTATTGAATTAAAACAAAACTTTAAGTTACTTACTATGTAGAGTTAAATCAGCTTTTCTTATATATATATATATCTTATATATATATATATAAGATATATATATATATATATATATAAGCTTTTCTTATATATATATATATATATATATATATATATATATATATATATAAAGTTTTATAATATTCTTGTCTATATATAATGTGTATATAATAATCTTATAATATCTCTCTAAAGAAAATATATTCTTCTTTAGTACATGATAATGAGCTTTTCTAAAATTATGATGAATATATTTTAAATAAAAAGTTGAAAATGGCTCTAATGTATTAAATATAATAAAAATAATGGAGAAGGAAAGAGCATATAAGAACCAGGTACGGTTGTAATTAATATATTTTAATGTAATGAAATACAAATATTACGGTTCGACCCGATTTGGGTCCTCTTCAGAAAATGAAATAGATAAAAGTAAGTGTCAACTGTTGCAGAAGACCAAAAAATTAAAGTAAAGCACCGCAAAACGCAATTAAAAAATACAAGTCGAACTCGCATTGAAACAGAAGTATAAATCCTCTTTTCATGGACATGAAAACAGTGGCCAGCAACGTTTAGGTAAACGATGGACCACAAACGCAGATGGAAAAGTAGTCGTCCAAACAATTAAAAGTTTAATCTAAATAAAAAAATTTGAAAAATTTTTTCGGATAAGACCAAAAAAGTGAACACACCAAATACACACAAAGAGATTATTACTGCTGTCATTACTGTTGTCTCGTTTATTTGAAATTCAACGTTTTATAAATTTAATGACATAATATTTAAAACTTTTGGCAGTCCTATGAGATCTTATTTATCTCCCATTATAGCTGATATTTTTTACATGACTTAGAAAGCAAGGCTCTTAACAAAATTCCAATATTTATTCCTTTTTTATTAGACACGTTGATGACATTTGCTTAGTTTCTCCTCCTGATTTTATTGAAGTTATTTTATATATTTTTATTTATTTCCACTAGAGATTGCAATTCACTGTTGAGAGATTTTCTAATGGTGGCCTTAATCTGTTGGACTCGTCAATTAGACTATCTGATGTATTTAGAGTTTGACTGGTTCCATAAACCTACTTTTTCAGGAAGATTTTTTAATTTTTACTCGTTTCACTCTTTATATAAAAAAAACTGGCATAAGTTTTATCTTGCTACACAAAGCCTTTTTTGAGTCATCCTAAACATCACGAGAAGAACATAAGATTGGTCATTAACATATTGATTAACAACGGCTATCCGTTAGATTTATTGCTTAGGAAAATTAAATGTTGTCTTCCTTTTCTTTTTAAAAAACTTCTCAGAATTCGGTTGGTTCTAGTGATTGTCATTCTGAAATTAAATCTTCCTTTTTCACCATCCCTTATTTAGGTTCTATTTCTGACCGTTTCAAATTTTCATTTGATTCAAAAACATTTAGATCAGCTTATAAAAATCTTGTTAAGCTTAATTAATTTATTAGGGTACACAAAGATCCTCTGCCAAGATTGATGTACAGTAATGTGGTTTATAAGATCAATTGTATGAATTGTGACAAGTCATATACAAGATGTTTGACTTGTACCGTCAGATCAGAGTTAATATATCTGGTACTGTCGTACCAGAGTTAATACGAGTATATAGCTATAATAGGTCGGGGTGAATAATGAAATCAGTATCCTTTTTTAAACAACCACATAAAATTTCGAGTTATTAAATAAAGTAGATGGGCTAATCAGAGCGTGTGATGCGGCAGGAGAGACATATGGCCGTGGCCGGCGAAGAAAATGGACGATTGTTCGCGGACCTATTTCATAGGCCAGAGAGATGGGCCGATGGTAGCAGCTAGCAAATGAAATAGGCCCGCAAGCAATTGTCCATTTCCTTTGCCGGCTGCGGCGAATCGTATGTCCCGCCTGCCGCATCGCGCGCTCTAATTAGTGCAATGCACATATTGCAAATTACATTATTAGTATGTTATATTATTCAATATACTATATTATTCAATATACTATATTATTAAATATTATGCGCATAACATTTATTACATTAAAAAATATATGTTTTGTAAATAATATTACATACAAAAACCAGTGTTTGGCTCTTATTATTTCTTCTATTTTATAATTTCGTAAACAATACATACTGTCGAATAAATACCGGGAATTGTTCAATAAAACATAAAATATTGATTTAATCATCCAAATTTATTTTGTCGCCTTCAAAATAGGCCCCATTTGATGCGATACACTTATGCCAACGAATAATCTAGTCGTCGATACACTTCTTATAAGCACTTTCCGGTATAGCCTGCAACTCCTCTTCTGCGAATTTTATTTTATGGTTTCAATGAACTCAAAACGTCTTCCACGAAGTGGAATTTGAGTTTGGAGAACAGGAAAAAGTCACACAGGGCTATATCTGGCGATACTTGGTCGATGATATTCGTTGATTTTTTAGTCAAAACTTCGCGAACAAGGGTCGATATGTGAGACGGCGCATTATTGTGGTGCAAAATCCAATAATTGTTCTTCCACAAATTTGGCCTTTTTCGGCGAATATTCTCTCTCAAACGCCTCATAACGCCCAGATAATATTGTTTGTTGACTGTTTGTCCCTTTGTCGATGTTTTCGAAGACGTTAAAGCCTGATCTACAATATGCTCTTTGCATTTTGTTTCTTGTCTTCTGCCTTTTTCTGGCTTAAAGCTTAAGGTTTGAGTCAGAAAGAGATAAAGAGAAAGAAGCAAAAAGCAAAGAGCATATTGTAGATCAGACTTAAAGGTCGATCGGAACGAGGCAAGTCTTCAACCACTTCTCGGCCTTCCTTGAATACTTTGTACCATTCGTGTTTGTGTTTTCGATAAAACTGACTCACTGTAGGCCTTCTCCAACATTTTCAACGACTCAGTACAAGAAATTTTGTTGACAACACAAAATTTTAGGCAACTGTTCAATATTTTTACTCATTTTAAAAATCGCAGAGTATGAGGTCGACTAACAAAACCAACAGCTGTAAATTGGTTAACAGATGGCGCCAAAACTCTACATGACAATTAGATACATTGGTACCAACTTACAGCAAAAAATTTGTTTTTATATCTTTTACGCGGGCTTTTGAAATGAACAATTCCCTGCATTTATTTGATAGAATGTATATACGATTGTTTGTCAAACAATATTCTGACAGTGATGTTTGCAAATTGACACTAATATCTTAGTTGAGATAATTCGGTAATCTGATTTGTACAATCTAGATATAATGTACTATCAACGTCACGATAACATACCTATTACTAACGCTCATCTTCCTCTAACGATTCAATACATCATCATGGACTCCTATCTGCGTCGCGCAACCGTTCAATTTCTTACCGCGACTAGCATCGAACAGATAAAATGTATACACCAGCTGTTACTATACGATAACCTCTCGCGATATTATAAAGTAGCCGTAGATATTTTTCACGTGGGAAAATTCTATTTTGGAAACCGTGAAATCAAATCAATGCCAACAAAATATTCAACGAATACATCGACAATATCAGATTTATTTGTATTCGAAGAACTTCGCAACTAATGCACACTGCAATAAGTTAGAGTAAAAGAAAGTATTTGTTTTACTCTAACTTACTGTATTAGTATAGGAGGTTTTCGAAAATAAACAGATTTATAAAAATCATTTAATATATCAATCATCGACTTACGAATATCTCAAGGCAGCATTCTACAAGGAAAAGGTTTAACTAACGGTAAGGAAAATATTACGGCATTTTAGCGACGGTAAAATTTTACTTCATACTCTTGAATACTAGCTCGCACTAAAACTGTGACGTTTGTAATAAACTTAAATAGTATTTTTTAAAGGTATGTACTATATCAATGTATTGTAAGGTGTCAAAATATACTGTAAATATACTGTAAAATGTACAAATCATTTTATAGAGTTAGACTACTCATTCCGATTTAAGGGCTGGCGTGAACATTAAGAGAAGACAATAGAGAATAAAATGTTTTTCTTATCTAATTATCTAGTTAGTAAGAAGAACGCAGGAGGAGAAGCGATCATATTGTCGATGTGTCCTCTGTTTCACTATGTTTCACATTTATTTCCCGTACTTCGCTTCTTCCTGCTTCTTTTCTTGTCTCCTATTCCTACATTACTATATGATAGAGAAAACATCTTACTTAACATCTTTGTCTTTTACTTTTGGCTTCAACTACCTAATAAGAATACCCCGCAACCTATCTCTATAAGTCTATGATGCAAACAAATCAGTATAAGTCGAATGATAACGAGTCGGACCGAATGCTCCATAGTGTCCGAAGTGTCGTAACTTTTTTCTCATAAAGAATTGGTATATTGCCTCTTTGCCTTAATTGACAGTATACATGTTCCATATGTATGTTCATATAGCGGCGTTATAAATCGCTATTCTGACATTGTAAGCCAGATTATAAAACACAGAAAATGATAGACAACAGGAATCATTTTTTTGTTTTGTTTCCAATTAGTTTCCAATAGTAACCGTCGTCTTGGAAACAAAGAAAAATTTAATTCTTCTTAAAAAGTACAAAAGATCGGAATATACGCATTTCCCAAAAACCTATGAAAGATTAAAACCGTGACTATTCGCTCTGTAGCAAGCAATATCGAAACTCTTAGTAAAGGAAAACCCAAGAAGGAGAAGAAATTAAATATCCGTTTTGTTGAAATGTTCCGAATGATCCGATGCCGACGGCGAGAAGTGAAAGGAAAGGCGATACTTACTTCACTGCGGTGCCCTCGTAGGTTGTAATTCGCCCTAAGTGGAAGTTCCGTGGCTCGTGTACGACAATGCGACGTGGTAAAAGTCACTCCTACCAAGCCGCGGGCGTTGCCGGTAGCCAGCCATCCCTCCTGGTAGTAATTTGTACGGTCAAGCTTCCATCCTTCGTCCTGATAAATAAAAGGAGAACGGTAGTCACTTTCGTTCACGGTCTCGCGCGAGACATCATGTTTTTGATTTATGGTTTCTCGGATTAACGTGGAGATCTTTTAACAATTTCCCGTGAAAAAAGCAATGTTAGTCACGATAAGTATTGCGGTTATTTTGAAATTTGTACGGTGCAAATTGAACTGCGAGGAAACTGTCATGGAAGTAACTATTGTACAGAATATCGTGACCCAATTAACGAATGAAGTTGGTGAGGCGCGGTTGAGCGAAACACTGTCGGAACATTAAAATCATCGATCAAGTAATCGAGTTATCATGGTGCGTAACGTCTCTCGAGCTGATTTATTATTCACTTCGTGAAGTTTCGTTACTGTAGGAGCACGTTACGTTCGAATGAGCATAGGAGTAATGGATTGACGGCCATGAATAATCAGCTCCGTTAATTGTCATTATTATCACATCCTTCGATATCACAAATGCTTGGATAGAGAAATGGGATAGAGAACGGTGCATTATTATTCGTTGACATGTATCGTTCTCATGTCAGCGTGACAGCATCGGGTAGCAAGGGTTTCAATGTTGAAAGGGTTTCACCCTCGAGCTAATTGTGCATATGTAGATGTAATTACTCAAGATAGTCGAGCCCCTTGAAGAAAGCAATATCGAAATAAAGTGTTTTTCTGAATTAGGTTTGCCATGAAGGAACTGATTTGAAGTGTGCCTAGCTCTATGTACTTCACAAACAGAATTACATTTGTTTTCGGTACATATTGGACCGCGTCGACCGCGGGGAATCTAAATGTCGGGCGAACAATTTTGGCACAGGAAGCAATCACAAATAGGGGAAGTATTCGATCTATGTGGTAATTCGCATTCTCATCCTCTGACATTTTTCCTATCGATAGACAGATACCCTATTCTTACTCCTGTCCGCTCCCTCTCCTCCTTTTTCTTTCAATTTACTGCAATATCGAATATTTATTCTAAAAGAATATGTTTTAAACACTATTACTTTACATTTAATTTTTACGTTTAACATACCGAATATTGATCCAAAATAAAAAAATTTCTGTAAATAAAAAATTATTTTAGTTTTTTTATACAATATGTGATGCATATGCAATGCATTTGTACTTTCACTCTGTGAACATCACTTTGTACAACATCTGCAACTAAATAAAAACACAATGCAAACTCCAAAACTACATTATATCGATCCAGCATCCTTTTAACAGGATACTATACTTTGCCAAAGAGATACAGACTTTTTCTGCAAAGTTTCCGTTGTATTAGTTGTACAAAATTATAAATATTTTTACACAATAAAAGTACGTATATAAAAATAAATTTGGGCATTGCTAAATATAAAAAAACAAAGCTATACATATTTAAGGTCTATATGTTAAAAAAAATACGAAAAAACGATAATGCGATTATGTTAGTGCTTACTTGACATAATTGTTTTGACGATCGCCTCTACGTTATTAATATTTTTTAATTTTTTCATTTATTTTAGCATTCTTTTATAATGTCTTACTGTTTAGTTTTATGTTACATACTACATTATTATTACAGTTTATTTATTCAGTTTTATTTATTTTGTTTATTAGCTCTTCTTTTTCTGTGTATATATTAAATTTTTTCTATTCTTTCAATATTTATTATTATTATTAACGTCTTAATCTGACTTTTTAAGAAAGTCACAAGAAAATGATGTTTGTTATTGCTTGATGTTGCTTTTTCAATGTAAATCCCGCATTTCTAATTTTTTTCAAAGTCTTCAATGTACGGTGGCACAATATTTTTTCTCCTCTATAGTGAATATTTCTCTGATATATTATGCGTGATATAATTCTACAAGCACAAACTTCCTGTATTACGGAGTTTCATTTCATTGAAATTTGAATTACGGGTAGTAGTCACAGCAATCCATACACGTGTATTCAATAAATTCTGATGGACAAGTCTAGGTTTCACACGTATGCAGTCTACATATTCACTGGGCTGCATGTAATTAAAGCGCGATCTAATAGAGATGTTTCGCTAGACAGCCAGGTAGCTACAACATTGAATTATTAGAACTACGCTAAAAAAACATGTTTAAGCGATTCGCTATTAGTTCGCGGATAATATTGGACAATGAAGTTATTCAACAGCTCGTCTGCGACTGTAACTCTCTTTTAGACTTGTTGTTAAACGAGAAGTAACGGTGAAACCCAGATGAAGATTTCATGATTAAAATTCTAAAATTATAATTTTTTCCAGTTACCGCGGCAGATTTACATTTCGCTAATGTATCTTTGTTACTGATATTAATATTAGATGTGTTTACATATATAAAATGAATTAGCAGACATAAGGAGTTAAGATATTGAGTCATAGCAGTTAAAATGTTTCGTTGAAATAAGAACAATTAATGTCGTTACTACCGAAGCTCGATATATTAGCTTTTTAAATTTAAGTGTTACAGCGACATAAATATTCGTAACCAGAAACAAATAATATTTAGATAAATCCATCATGCAATTATAATTGTCAAGTAAATTAGGTTTCAAAACGATTTGAATATTTTTTTCGATGCGTTATATATATGGAACGCATTCCATGATCAAATGGAAGAACTTGTTTTTTTTATTAATTCCCAGAAGTTGAGTTTTTTTAAATGGACCATTGAATGTGTTACAAAATGTATCGAAAGAAGGGTTGAAACAGTTTTAGAACAATTATACAAACTTTTGTTTATATATGTATACGATAAAATATTTAAATAAATATTCTGGTTTAGATAACCGAAGAATAAAATATTTTTATTATTTTTTTTCGAAGAAATAAATAAAGATATAAATATACGATTTTACCTATATTATTTATCATTGTTCTAAATATAAAAAAATTGTTTAAAAAAGAAATTGAAATTTTGTTCATGTATTTTTTGTATTGAGTGCGATATGTTGCTGGACGCCTTTAACCGGTAAATATTACAACTCATACAATAATCTGAAATAAACGTGATAAGAAAATTCAAAAACTATAACTTACTATACTATAACTTACTAATTAAATATTACAACTCATACAATAATCTGAAATAAACGTGATAAGAAAATTCAAAAACTATAACTTACTATACTATAACTTACTAATTAAATATTACAACTCATACAATAATCTGAAATAAACGTGATAAGAAAATTCAAAAACTATAACTTACTATACTATAACTTACTAATTAAATATTACAACTCATACAATAATCTGAAATAAACGTGATAAGAAAATTCAAAAACTATAACTTACTAATTATAACTTAAATTTATTATGAATCTTTATTATATGCGGAAAATTGAAACTTAACAAAATGACAACACTTCCATGCTCATTTTTTCTCTTTTCCTTTTTAATTTAATGTTATAGGAAAAATACTAATTTTAAGACTTTTAAAGAGAATTTAGATCCATTCTCCCCCCATCCCAGCATATTTAATAAAGTTTTCAAATTTTCTTGTCCCATTTGTTTCAGATTATTATGAGTTGTAATATTCACCAGCTAGGAACGTTTGGCAACATTATGCTCAACACAAAAACAGGGTAAAATTTTAATCCTTTTTTAAATAATTTTGTTATATAATTTTGTTATAATAATTTTGTTATAATTTTGTTTAAATAATTTTGTTATAATAATTTTGTTATATATCTCAAGCGATAATAAATAGTAATAATTAAACTTCTATACATTGATATTTTTATCCATTTTTTGTAAAAGAATCATGCAAACCTATTTCTCACCTAGGCTGAATTAGAACCTTCCTTTAAAAAAGCTACTACTTTCCTTTAAAAAAGCTATTATTTTCTTAGTTATTAATACTAATGTGCAATTTTAATATTAGCTAATAAATTTTTATCTCACAATGAATACATTTCACTTGTAACAGTCAACTCTTAGTAATCAGTGCCAAAACGATTAGCCTTCCAGGTAAATTTGAATCAACTACTGAGATTTAGCGAATAACATTACGTTACTTTTATGCAATTGCTTAAATCGTAACACGACCGCGCATGCCGACAATGTTTGCTTCTCCTCGTGAAAGGCACATTCCTCTTTCACATTTGCGCTGACTGATGAAAAATGTTTTGCACATCGCGATCGATGTCTATGAAGGTTATTTCTGCAAGTCACCTCGAATATGACAATAAGCTGTAGCTGGGACGGAGATAAGAAACAAAATCAGTGGTAATCCAATCTTTGTAAACATGTTGAGAGTAATCCGCAGAAAATTGAGAGAGTTTGGCGAAAATCGATGTTACGCAAAAACACGCCTTGCGGAACGAACGAATAAACGGCGAGTGAGATTTTTTGTTGCAGTACGTTCGACTATTACCGGAGGAGCGGTATACGTTTTCTCGAAGCGCTTCGATATAATTTACCGGCAAATAATGGATGTAATAGTAACGGCTCTCAATAATGATTTTATTGATTCAAACACGATTCACAGCATCGAGAGTATAATACAAACGTATGACGATGAATTGTCTCCCGTATGCGCGATAAGCGGTATCCTAATTTTTTTTCTGTTTTACTTTTGTTTTCTGTTTTCTTTTTATCTTAACCAGAATTTAGTCTGAGTTGTTGTAGCAAGAAACAAGATATTATTCATAGAATTTTGTAGATTGCACAATGAGATCCTAAGTAGGAATTTACTACTGGCATCAAAGTACCGATTTATAGTAAACGTTACTGGCATAGTACCAGATGCCAGTGCGGGTTTAGTATTGATGTGATACTGGGATGATAGAAAAGAGCCAGTATCGGAAAACAGTACTGTCACAGTACTGAAAATCAATACTGTACCAGTATAAAAAAAGTATTGATTTCTAGCATTGGGGAAGTATCTATTCCCAGTACTGGGCCAATATCGATTCCTAATAATTTTTATTATTTGTACAATTGTTAATATCACAACTGTATAATACGAAAAGAAAGATTAGACCATAGACAGGATTTT